ACAGTAGTTATCCATACCATTCATTAAGTGAGTGTTAGTTACCTTTGCTGTATCTGATGGTGATACTAGATTCCATTTTGGGGAGCTAAGCCTTCACGGTCTGTTGCTCATGTCCCATGACTGCTTACAAAGTAGAAAAATTGGACAGAATGCTTCTGATAAGGAAAATATGGGAAAAGGTCTGCAGAAATATGTATCTGAAAGAAGTGGGCTCTTGGGCACCTGACAATGCAAGCTATCTGTGACTATGCAATAAGTAACTTTGAATAAAGGGGAAGTAGGAAGATGCCCATCATGATCAGACTAACAGGACTGTGAACACAATATCTGCCCTGCATGCCCTCTCTATTCAGTGGCTCTGTCAGCATAAAAAGAGTTGGATCATAAAGGTAAATTGACTTCATTTTGTATGTGATGCATTCATGAAATTTTTATTAGGGGTTATTTGCTTTAGTTTTTGCCCACCTTGATCCTAGTTCAAGAGGAAATGGCATGGTGGAAGGACTTCTCACATAGGGGTCAGATGCAATAACATTAAAGAAACTATATATATAAAAAAATAAGAGTCTCTGTCATCTGGGTTGCTAACTACCTGTGTGACCTTCTGTGTGATCTTGGAAAAGTCCAGTTACTTCTCAAGCCCATTTTTCTCATCTATGAAATGAGAAGTTTAGGCTAGGGCCCCAAATAGCTCTGGAATATAGAACATGACCACTTCTGAAGGAATGGTTCTCGCATATGCTTCTTGCTTTGTGGATGAAATATTTCAGGGTAAAAAGTATGCAGAACTTGGCAAAGCCAGTGATATATTTATGCCAGGTATATATTTATGCATCAGCTGATTTCTCCCACTACCTCAGGGCTCTACAAGCTACTCTTTGTTCGATGGTGGTTGTTTGTACTTTTAATTTTTTTCTTCCACAATTTTTTTAAAAAAGATTTAAGCAGCTGCTGTCATTAGTAGGTGACAAGCAATTTGGAAATAGAATATTAATTTAAGGACTGAGAAGCAGCATGAAAGATTAAACTTTTTAAATAGACATAAGTGTTCAGAGTTGAAACTATATGATGTAGTTATTTCAGCTGATTTATTAAGAACTCAGATATGTGGCTTTGCCAAGTCTTGTAGACTTTATATTAAATATTTTTGATGGCATAGCAAAAACTGCAACCTTAAACTATACCTTTGGAAGTAGTCATGCCAAACTCTACAGCTGTAATTGGCCTTAATCTAACCTCATTTCATAGGTGAAAAATGGTTCTTTTTCTGTGTAGTGAGGTCAAAAACATTAGTATTCCGTAGTGTTCTATGCAGGAGACCATAATAAATCCTCTGGTCCTTGAGCTTATTTAAAAGGCAGAGTCCCAAAGGAACTGACTTTATCTTCATTATTCTAACGAGAGAACTGAAGTTTAGTAAACTTGTGCAAGGTTATAGCTAGTTCATGGTGCTAACCGGCAGTCTGGTTCTTGACTCAGTTATGATGTATCCCTTCGTAGTTTGGACTTCTTGCCAAAAGCCAGTTCCCTGAGAGGATAGAGTTTGTTTTGTCCAGAAGTATCCCCAAAAGCTCCAACAGAGCTGGCGCAGGAGCAGGAGGCCAGCCAGTGCCCCCAGTGGATTCTTTTGTCCCTATCCTAATTCCAGTGGGTAGCCATTATTCCTTCATGCATGATTCCTGAGGGTATCCAGACTGTTGGGAATCGAGGCCAAAGAGAGAGACAAGAAGGAAGATAGTGGGCAGCCTGGGTGGCTCAGCAGTTTAGCACTGCCTTCAGCCCAGGGTGTGGTCCTGGAGACCCGGGATCGAGACCCGGGATCGGGCTCCCTGCATGGAATGGAGCCTGCTTCTCCCTCTGCCTGTGTCTCTGCCTTTCTCTCCCTCTGTGTGTGTCTCTCATGAATAAATAAATAGTCTTAAAAAAAAGAGAGAGAGAGAGAGAGAGAGAAGAAGAAGGAAGATAGTGATTCCTTCCTGGCAGTCCTGACTTCTCAGTTCCAGGATATTTACTGGATAGCAGTTTAATGGAAGGCATAGCATTGAAGGAAAAATCAACCATTTCATACAAATTAATGATTCCACTTCTAAGCTCTAAAAATGACCAGTTTCTCAGTTCTCTACTCCCTTAGTTTCCTGCCTAACTACACAAGTTTCTGTGATTTAATTGTCCAGGAAACTTACTATCCATCTACTCATTTACATCCCATCAGCAATTTGACTTCCTTTCTTTGCATTTGGGAGCATGATTTCCCCAGTTGGAAAGAGTTTTGGAAAAGGCGGGAAGGCAAGCTTGGAGCTCAAGAAATAATAAAGAATAATACTATAATCATAACAACTCATTATTTGTTTTTAAAGCTTGATCTTCCAGAAGGTTATTTTCTGGAGTTGAATACTAATAGGTTCAAGCTCCCTTTATGCAGAGGAAATCTTAAACAACAGTGTTCATGGGGAAGGACATTAATCAAGAGAAAGAAGTGAGCCTTGAGCCTAATAACGTTTGCATAATAGCTACCCTTGGGTGTATTGCTTGACTTAAAAATAAATATCCCCGCTTTCCGTCTCCAGTACAATTGGAAATTATCTGCGGTTATGATTCTGTTATATGATCCTCTACCTGTTCATGGAGACTTTAACCCACAAGGCAGCTGGAAACCAACAAACATAGCAGTGCTTGTGAATGTTGGGGTAGACATTTAAAGAGGCTATAATATGGGCAATCTGGAGAAAGTGGCAGGGAACAGGTCATAACTCTCTTTCGTGGAGGAGAAGGGTGGGATTGAACTGGCATGGTTGACATTTATATGCTTCCCTGCTTTACTTTTGCCTCTGCAGTGGTTTCTCACCACCTGCAGGATAAACTCCAAGTGCCTTATCTTGACGGAAGAGGTGCTCACTGGGTGGGGGATTCCTCTGACTCTGCAGCACCTTACCTGCGACCACTCTCCACCTCAGGGAGGATAATATACAGCTCTTTGCAGGTTCCCTTAGATAATACAACTTAATTTGCATGTCTTTGTTCAGATCCTCCCTTTGTTTTGCCTGGATGTTCCGAATCTTCTTTGCTAATTAATCCCATTTACCATGGAAAAGTTGGCTTAGGCTTCATCCAAGAAATCTTTGAACTCCACAGCTAATCAATAAGCTTTCCCCTGACTCCTAATATTTTTCGTTCTTTTTGTTCTTTCTCTCATCCTTTCCTTCCCTTTCTTTTCCTTTTCTCTCTTCCCTTCCTGGTGCTCCTTCAACAGATGTCCTGGGGAATGCCTTTACTGTCTTGATTTGTTGCTTATATGCACCGAATTTTATTACACAAAGGCTTTAAATTAATGAATTCATTTTTCTTCTTTTCTCCTCCTTTTCTCTTGACTTCTGGAAAATGTTTCAATATAATCTTGAAAAAATGGGCACTCTACTGTTTCAAAATTATAAAGCTTTCATTGTTGATTTTGTTCTTGCTATAGAGAGATGAGCAGGACAGCTATTAATTTTATTTTAAAAATTAAGAAAGTTGGTTCATAAACATTGACTTGTTAAACTTACATGTCTGCTAAGTTAGAGATTAGAATTAGACTCCAATCCAGTGCCTTTTTTGGATTTATTTATTTATTTATTTATTTATGGAGAGAGAGAAAGCATGTGCATGCAAGTAAGGGGCCCAGTTGTCACCATAATGCAAGTCCGTGTGTCCAACCCCGGCCTCTGTGCAGTGCCCTCTGGGAGTCCCCCCTGTAAAGCTCCACAAGGCTCTGGGAGGCCTGAAGAAAAGAAAAGTAAATAGTCTTTATAGGCTATCAAGTTTATACTGTTGTGAAAAGACATTGCAGTGGTGCTCCTGGGTGGCTCAGTCAGTTACCTGTCTGACTCCTGATTTGGCTTAGGTCATGATCCCAGGGTGATGAGATCAGCCCCATGTTCGGCTCTGCACTCATTGGGGACTCTTCTTGAGATTCTCTCTCTCCCTCTCCCTCTCCCTCCGCCCCTCCTGCAGATGCTCTCTGTCTCTAAAATAAATAAGTCTTAAAAAAGTAAAAATAAAAAATAAAATGATGCTTTGAGAAATAAAATTCAAGTTACTTTCTTCTAAAATTTTGTGTTGTTCAAGCCTTAAGATCATCTATGTTTTCAGTAGTTCTAGAATCTAAGTACTTTTTTCTGAAGGGACCATTTCTAACCCAATGCACATGGTCCCTTCAGGAGCCATCACTGTCATTAGATGCTTCCACATCCTGCCCTCTCTCACCAGCTCCCCCTTCTATCTTCTCCTCTACCTCCCAAGTGACTTGTACGTCCACTTTGATTCTTTGCCCCTGGAGCTACATATCTTTACAATTAGTTTAGGCTTCCTAAGACTTTTAGAGTTCTTTCCACAAGAGTCATCAGGATAGATGCTGACCACATGGTTATTTTCCGTAGAACATAATGAAGCATACATGTTCCCTCCTCACTACCTCCAGTCCTCTTCATTTCTGTAACAGTAGAAGTTTGTCTCTCACTATAGAGCAAAATTACTAGTGATCTATAGGACCCCAAGAGGACAAAGCGAAAGGAATTGGAAAGAAGGGAGCAGAAATGATCATGATTAGGCACCCAGCCTGCCTCAGTAGATGAGTTGAAAAATCCCTGTGATTTCATCCATCATTTCAGTCACTCTGTAAGATTTAGACTTGCTGGTTGATAGATGTGGAAATCGGGCTCAGAGGGCTTCCATGATTTGCCCACAGCTTGTGTTGGAGCTAAGATTTGAATCTAACCTCTGTAGCTCCAAGTTTTATGAGGAGTGTTCAGGTAGATTCTAGAATGATAGAATGGGTATCTGGGTAGCAAAAGGATGAAGTGAAGGCGTTAGCCTGTTGCGAGATTCAACCTTTGGCATGTTTCTCCTTCCCTGATTCCTGCCCCAAATGTAGACTATTTCTGCAAAATATGGATCCAGCCCTTTGTGATATTTTAATGAGAGGGTCTTCTACTAATGGGACATCTCTCTTTTGTCTTCCACAGCAATTTTGCAGGCAGTAATAGCTGGTGATCTTATGAAGGTAAGATATCTTCCTACCCAAACTTTTGGTGATTCTTTAAGAACTTTAACATCGTTTCTCACCAAATTTTCATGATCTCTCATATGTCATTTATCATCCCCTTGCCTGTGCTAGCTGACTTGAAAGGGGAAGGATGCTCTTTTGAGAACTGGGCAGAGAGGGCCAGAGAAGTCTTCACAGCATCTCTACATTTCCTAACAGCGAAGAATGTATGCAGGGGTACCATGCTGGTTGCCTCAACTAGTTAACATGGAACACACATTTCCTGGATGCAGTGTTCAGGGTGTCCGGAATCCCTGCTCTCTAGAAGCTGATATTTGACATTTAAAGGTTTCTTTTTAGATAGGTCTTGAAACGAGTGCATCTGTAAGAATTATCTGGACAACACCCAGAAATACATTCCCCAGGCCAGAGCTTACAGCTTCCAACATTATTACAGTTTTGTATGTTGAGAATAACAAGTAAGCAAAAGAACACACTCTGTCTCCCTCGAATACTTGAATTCAGGCTTATATTTTCTTAGTTCGGAGGGAAGGAAGTGGTCACTGCTGCCTCTAGAGGGAATGCAAATTCTGGAGTCAGAATGCCTGGCTTCAGATCTTGGCTCTGCCGTTCACTGTATGTGTGACCTTGTATAATCATTTAATTCTCCCTGTGCCTCAGTTTCTTCAGCTGTAAAATTGAATAATGGTGCCTCTTTCCTTTATTGTGAGGATCAAATGTAACAATACATGTAAAGCTCTTAAGACTTTTTATTATATAGAAGGGACTATAAAATCCTACCTAGTGGTGTTAGTCTGTGTTTTTTAAATAAACGTAGTGGAGATGCAAATATTTGTTATAAACTATAGTATAGTCCACGAGTATCCTAAAAGCTATATTTGGTCTCACATCATTTTCAGGCGTTGGGACCCATGACGGCCTGTATATCCCCGTATAACCCGCACTGGCATTGATCTGCTCTATAATATTGGCAACTGCATAGAGGCAGAGGCTCTTGCCTTACTCATGAGCCTGTGGAGTGTGGTGCTTGCAGACCAGGAAATCAAAACCCTTACAAGAGAGCTGAGAAGCACTGACCTTGCTTGCAATTTCCTTTGAAGCACATCTGTTGAATAAACTGAGAAACCGCTGTGCTGCAGTGTTAACAGGTTACTAATAGGAAACAAATGGCGAGAAGGTTGCAAGCATCTTGATAAACTGCCATCTTTAGACCCATAATCCTAGAAATGGTGCCTGTGGCAGTGTCTAGAGAAGAATGTTACGAGGAACTGTTACCCACAAAAGAAAAGTATTCCCCAAGCGGCGTACCTGGGAGTTTGATGCTGTTGTCCAGCCAGCAGTGGATTGAACCCATATTATCTTGTACTCCCCACAAGGCCTTGTATTAGACGCTTTGAGCAGTCTTACGATGGGATTCCTGCTTCTGCAGAGCTTCTAAGTCAAAAAATTTTGCAAACTGCTGTAAATTTGGAGTCTTTTTATTTCATTGTGTGTGTGCCTTTCATTTAAGTAGCATATTTTCAGGTCTCTGGGTATACAACCACACTTTTTTTTGTGCTTAATAGAGAATTATTTGAAATATGAGCAATTGCTATATTCAGTTGGTTATCTTATTACATTCTCTGTTATAATCATTTTCCTAAGTGCCTAAGAAATGACTAAACAGTGGAGCACCTGGGTGGCTCAGTCAGTCAAGCATACGCCTTCAGCTCAGCTCATGATGTCAGGGTCCCTGGATGGAGCCCCTGCATCAGGCTCTCTGCTTAGTGGGGAGTTGGCTTCTCCCTCTGTGCTCCCTTTCTCTCTCTCAAATAAGTAAATAAATAAAATCTTTTTTTGAAAAAGAAATTAAGTTTATTTATTGAGAGGTGAAATATAGTGACTTAGAGTTTTTCTTACACCTTTTTCTCTCTTTCCTTCCCAAGTCTTTCTTCCCCTTTCCTTTCCTTTTTTCTTCCTTCTTCTGGTTCTCTGTCCCACCCAGAAAGCATTATAAATACTAAATATTGCGTGTGTCTGTAAGAGAGAGAGCACACACCAGACAGCAGAGAACTGAAGACCCCAGGAAGCAGTCAGTGTCAAGGGGTATTGGGAGTGGCTTCTGTGCAACTGGGATGCGTCAGATACCTATGCACTGACTTAATGTCTGTACTGTCCAAAGACCCCACAGAAAGGCAACATCCCAGCACCTGATGGACTGAGTCTGTGCTAGTCCATCAAGCGCAAATCCTTTGTGGGTCTGCCTATAAAGAAAGGGAGTGTCATTGTAAGATTGTTATTGACCAGTACCGGAAATGCTTAGATTTTGGAGGGACTACTATTAGCTACCTCTTGCTGTCCTGTAGTTGAGGGATACAAGCCACCATATGTTCTTTACTTCCTTTCAACTCTTCTTTTTTGAACTATTTTCAAGGAAGTCTTCCCTGACTCCTTTTTTTTTCACTCTTTAATAGCCTCCTGTGTTCTTCTGCATTCCTATCTCTGTCTTCGACATCTGTCCTCCCCACAGACTGCAAGTTCTCGAGGCCAGTGGCATCTGGCACATGGCAGTTCCCTGGTTGGATCTGAGTGAAATTGTGAACTATGTTTACTTTATTTGACCTTAGGAGATGTTTACTTTTTTTTAAATATAATGTGCGATCTAACTTCTTGGTGATAGATACATTCCTTTTGCTTAGCACCTGCTGGGTTACTTTATTCTTCTTTGTCCTAAAACTACTTCTTAGAAGTTCCAGAAAGACTCTTTTTGTTCTGCTGTTCCACAGTTTGGAGAACAGGGACCCATTTCCACTTTCTGTAATGTTCAGTATTTCATGAAATGAGACTGCATCCTCATTTTGCCACATTATTCTCAGGCTGCAAAATCTGTTGGTGGTTTTCCAGTCTGTTCTCGTAATACAGGTGTTTTAGGTTTCTCCTGCAACATTCTCTGAATCCTTCTGGTTCTCCTCCCGTGGGTTGTCTCTAGCCTGATTGGGTATAGGTTGGATGATTAATGGAAGGCGTGCAGGCTGGGCTGCAGAGCTGGAGAAGAAAGAGGCCATACATGTGTGTGCTTGTGTATGCTGCATGCACGTGTGCCACCATCTCCCATGGGAAAATGGGAGGCAGCTTCTGTATTTGGTAGCTAGGTTCATTAGAGTTTGAAGAGAAACCCTAGGCTAGGAAAGGAGCTTAGCTACCAGACACCAAGCTATTCCTGTCTCCAGCCTTAATTACTATTTAACTCAAGAGAAAGCCAAGCCAACATAGGAAAGCATTTTTTTTTCCCCTCTTTGCTGCTCTCTTGGGACAGAGACCAGTGCCCAGAAAAGAAAAAGACATCAAACAGAAAAGAAATAACTAAGGCAGCACATTTTCAGTTTTGCTTGGCTGCTCGGTGCCCGCAGACCCTCTCTGGAGTGAGAGGAGACACTGGCCATCTCCTTGAGTGCTAACACAGACCAGGAGCGTTACTTCATCTCTTTGACTTTTCTGTGTCCTCTGAGGCCAGAAACATTTGTGGTTTGCTACATTACTCTTTTTTTATCACCGGTTAACTATTTCCCTGGTTCTGGACTCTGCTTGAGCTGCTTTTCCTATGTCTCTTTTTCAGCTAATGGAAAGCTATAAAAATGGAGGCAGTCTGCTGATCCAGGGGCCGGACCACTGCTCCCTCCTTCACCACGCAGCTAAAACTGGCCACGGGGAGATCGTAAAATATATTCTGGACCACGGTGAGTAGGCACAGTAAACCAAGGGTCACTTATCCAGGAAGTCACTGAATTTTCTAAGTTGACTTCAGGCTATCTTCAGAACGGTAGAAATGCTCCCCAATTTACAGCCGACACCCCCTTGCTTATGTGCGGCAGACAGAAGTGTTCCTCACCAGAACCAAACAACTCCTAGAAATAATTTTCATAGCAAGGTCTTTGCAGGATATTGTTGAGCTGATTGGTAAAAAAGACAAGAACAAATGCGTCCTTACAGAATATGCTGGATTGTTTGGGGGAAGAGCTTTACGTTGCCTGGTTGGGACCAGGTACCAAATCCATGTTCATCGCTGAGCATTCTGAGGATTACATGAACCTGTATTTTTCTAGCTCTTTGGCTTCTCTCTTTTTATTTTTGGTCTGAATGTCATTCATCATTTCAGTTTAAGCCATAGTTCATTCTCTTTGAAAACATCTGGTACTCTCATGTCTTCTGTACTTAGATGTTTGCTGGAAGTAGCACATACATGGAAGATGCAATGGTGGCATTATTCTCTCATGGCCCTTTAGAGGCATAAGCACATGGATGGATAACAAATCTTGACCAATACCTTCAACTTCCCATGTTTATAGTGTTTCTAGGATTTAAGAACAGGAGTAAAGGAAAAACTCTGCCTGGCTTGGCTCTTTTTGAGGGGGGGAGGATTGGAGCAGCCTCTAGCTCTGCTAGATGCAGGTATACAGAGATTCTAGAAGATACTCTATGAGCCCTAGCAGTGAGGCTATGAAATCCAGATTCAGGCTGTAAACAGTAAGCATATTAGTAGAGAGGTACATTCTTTTTTGCTCCGCTTTTTTTTTCTTTTTTTGAGAAAGAGAGAGAGCATGCACGCATGAGCAGAGGAGGAAGGGGTAGAGAGAGAGGGAGAGAGAATCATAAGCAGGCTCCACCCTCAGCACAGAGCCCAGTGTGGAGCTCAGTCTCACGACCCTGAGATCATAACCTGAGCTGAAATAAAGAGTCAGACGTTTAACCAACTGAGCCACCCAGGTGCCCTGCTCCTCTTTTTATTCAGTTCCACAAATGTGTCTTTTAGTCATTCAACAAGTATTTGTAGAGTGCCCAACAGTAACGACCTATTATAGACCAGTGTACACACACACACACAAACTACACACACAATACAGTCACTATTTTCAGGCAGTTGGAGGCTAAAAAATATATAATCATATGCAGAATTAAATTGAAAACACTTCTTTATAGATGTTTTAAGTCCTATTGTAAAGCCGCAGGTAGAAAACACAGCTACCATTTGTCACACACTTATTATACTTCAGATGCTTATACTAAACATCCTATCATTTAATCCTTACAAAGACCTTGTAAGGTAGATATTAGACTGTCAGTTACACTTGACTCACCTTGCTTTGACTTCAGTTCCTTCCCCCTGCGATGACTTTGCTTAAACCCTTGGCCGGAGTTACGAGGGAAAGAATGGTTTAAGGAAAGGAAAGCGTGTTAAAGCAGGCTAGTGATCATTTGACCATTTCTTTCCCCCTTGTAGGCTGGGCTGGACAGTTCCAAGTCTGTCTACCCTGGAAAGCCTAGGTGGTAAGCTGTATTCTTGGTGCTGTGTCTGGGGTATGCATCTTTTCATCTCCCATTCCCCTGCCCATTCTACCCACTGCAATAAAAGCACTTGGGGAAGGGGGGCAAGACTTAGCAATAGTGGCATAAGTTCTGCTTACCTCCTTCATGAAAAAAAAAAAAAAAAAAAGCATAGGTATTTTCTCTTTCCCACAGTGACTTCTCCAAAAGCTGGTGAGAGGTAAAACCAAATGTTAGAAAATAGTCCCAGAGACAACACATACAGTCACAGAGCTTTTATGATTATTTTTCTCTTAACTGAATAGATCTCAGGGCACCTGGGTGGCTCAGTTGATTAAGTAGCTGCCTTTGGCTCAAGTCACGATCCCAGAGTCCTAGAATAGAGGATGAAGTCGTGGTCATTGTCATCATCGTCAGGCTCCCTGCTCAGCAGGAAGTCTGCTTCTCTCTCCCTCTCTGCCTCCTCCCCCTGCCTGTGCTCTGTCTCTGTCTCTTGCTCTCTCTCAAATCAATAAATAAAATCTTAAAGAAAGAAAGAAAGATCTCAGGATTTCTACCATACAAAATGGAGATGAGCTTTAGCTATACATGTTGTCAGTTTATTCCTCTTTAGCTCCAGTTAAAGTACTCCTGATTGCTATCTTCTTGACCCTTCTCAATCACTTCTTCCTAGTTTGTCCTTTACCCAATGAGATTGAATGCTTGCTGGCATACTTTAAGTGGTTCAATACCCACAGATCCTCTCTCGAGTTAGGTGAGACACTGGCCATCTTTTTGAGTGCTAATGCAATTTAGGATCTCTCTCTCTCTCTTTCTCTTTTACCTCTCCTGAAGAGCTAGCATCTTCCCCTGCCCCCACATACACCCATAGTTCTGAAAACCTCTCTGTATCAGTTACCTATTGGTCTCATTTGATCTCACTCATGAGGCTGTAGGGAGCTGCAACTGTAATTGAGTCTGTATTGAAGACAGACTCCCCCACATATTTGGGGGTCTCAGCTAAGATGGCTGGAATGGCCAGCACACCTGAGCCTCTCTCTCTACCTGTTCTTTTATCCCAGGCTTCTTCACAGCATGATAGTCCTAGGGTTCCAGGAAAGTGAGGATAGAAGCTTCCAGATGTCCTTGAGGCCAGGCTGGAAAGTTCTGCATTATTTCTGTAGCATTCTGTTAGCTGAAATAGGTCACAGAGTTACCCCTAATGCAAGGGAGGGCAAAATGGCCCCCACCAACCCATGAAAGGAGCTGCAAATAGTCTGTGGCCAGATTTACCCTACCGCTCTCCCTTACTCTCTGTTTTCTTCAGTTGAAAATGATGAACTTACTTTCTCCATATCCTGAACTACTGTCTCACCTGGAAATCCCCTGGACCTCAGCTTCTACATTTTCCTTTGGTTCTGGGTCCTAAGGTTGATTAGCAACAATAATTCTTTTAATTTGCAGCTTCTGCAAAAACACCAGTTTCCCCCTTTTTAAGCATAAGTATGACCCATGCAATATTTGGGACATACTTATACTAAAAACAAAACCACAATGCCTCTCCTCAGTTGCATGTCCCAGGGGTATGAGTGATGATGAGGCATGAGATAACGTGAGTCTAAAATCATAGATTTAAAAAAATAATAATAAAAAAATAAAGCCATAGATTCTTCATCTCCCCACTACTCTTTCCATTGCCCTAAATAATAGTGCCTCTACAGGCTTGCAGTTTCTAACAGCTGCCCCCCACCCCCTATGGACTGGTGCACCCATACTTTGCCTGGCATGAAATCAAGCTGGTTTGTTAGTCTCTTAGTGCTGTAACCAAAGCCTGATGTTCCAATGCTAAACTCATTTCTCTTCCATCTCCAGCATCTCTGGCAAAGGTGAATCACACAATATAGCTCTCTATCAAAACCAAGGACACAAAGCAATCTGTTAATTTGGGGCGAGGAGGGTGTTTATTTTTCCAGCTTTCTGTGGGGATTAGATTTTATAAATTAGTTACTGTCATATTTATGATAATGAGAGAAATACTCACCTCTGCTTCCCTCACAGGCATGTAGTTCCCATGGTCACGGGAGGCATCTGATTCCCGCCCCACCTCATCAGAATCTCTCATACCTGGAGGAGAGACTGGAGTTATGAGGCACGCTCCATCTTTCTGTTTGAAAATAAAATCTTATTATGCTCTCCAGTCCAAGAATCACTGCAGTTTTGAGGGATGGCGATTTTTAACCTTTCAGCACTAGAGTCAAATAATGGAAACTGAATTGCAGTTGATGTTTTTATTGAAATTAGCATTTATCAACCTGATAGGCCCTGTCAATTTTAGCCTTAACGTAGACCCCACTATTCCGACATATTTAGGTATATGCAGGTAAGTCTTTTGACGTAGCCAGCCTAAGTCAGCAGCTTCCCCAAGAGCTAAGTGCATCTGCTTACCTGTTTTTATTATTGTTGTTTGTTTTAACATCTTTAGTCGCTGATAACAATTTCTATTAGCCTGTGCATGTTGAGATTGTAAACTACTTTTGTAAAAAAAAAAAAAAAAATTCTCTTTTTTAAATTATAGGAAACCCTGTAAATTGTAGTGTTTTTGAAGGCAGGGACAAGCACATGGGAAACATGACCCTTTCTCTGCTCTGTAGCAATCCTTTTAATGCAACCCCTGCTCAGTGAAATCATCCCTCCTAATTTCACGTGATGGAATCCCCTTGGTCTGACAAGGAAAATAGCCTTTTCCAAGAGGCCTCAGTGAGACTGGGAGTCAGGATGTACATCAGACCGTGGCAACATATTTATAAACCAGCATCAGATTTGTGGTCGACAGGTCTGATCAACATGAATTCGTGGAAATAGAAAATTATTAAAATTTTGCACTGTGCCAAAGATGGAGAGGGACATTCCTTCCAATTTCGAATGCTGCAAATCTTTTGAAGTTTTAGTTTATTTTTTTTAAATTTGGTTTAAGTCTTTCCTGGGGCTTCATATGATATAAATCATAAAACTTGTTCATAGACCTGACTGTAAAGATGCCGTCCTGACCAGGGTTCCCCAGAAATTGGTGGGCTCTCTCCAAGGTGCCTGAGAGGGAGCTGGCTTGTTTGCTTCTCGCATCCTTGCTCAGGTGGGAGCCTCTCTCTCCCCTCCTTGGCCTCTCTCCTCACTGGTTGTTTATGGTGAGCAGTGGTCCACAGTCAGGAGGGCAACCCCCCTACCCTGCCTACCCCCAACAGGAGCCTGAGACATTACTTGTTCTCCCAGACACTACATTCAGCAATGCATTTCTCTTCTAAGCACTCTTTGAAAGCCAGGCTGGGGGGCGAAGGGCAGGGGTATGGGGTACACTCTGAAAAGCCACAGGAGGCTTGCATTTTTTTTCTGTCCCGCATCTTCTTTGGGACTTTCTCTCAAACATACAACCTGCTGTTTT